ACAGCACTGAAACTGCATTAGTGAGAGTTACAAATGATATTCTCATGGCCTCAGATAAGAATCTTGTGTGTGTTCTAGTCTTGTTAGATCTCAGTGCTGCCTTTGACACGGTAGATCACAATGTTCTTTTAGAAAGGCTTGGACATGTTGTAGGGATCAAAGGAACAGTGCTAGGCTGGTTTAAATCCTACCTTTCTGATAGATTTCATTTGTAAATATGCATGACAAATCTTCTTCATACGCCAGGTTTACAAGTGGAGTACCACAGGGTTCAGTGCTTGGACCAATTCTTTATACTATATATATATATATATATATATATATATATATATATATATATATATATATATATGCTCTCAATTGGTAAAAATCTTTAGACAGCATGGGATAAACTTCCACTGTTATGCTGACGATACTCAGTTATATCTATCCATTACCCTGATGAACCTGATCGGTTAGTTAGATTACAGGTTTGTCTTGAAGACATAAGAAATTGGATGACTCAAAACTTTCTGCTTTTAAATCAAGACAAGATTGAAGTTCTAATCTTTGGACCTGAAATTCAAAAAAAGAAAATGCTTAGTCAATCACCGGGCCTGAATGGCATTCAATTAGTCTCTGAGAACAAAGTAAGGAACCTTGGTGTTATCTTTGACCAGGACATGTCATTCAAATCCCACGTTTAACAGGTTTGTAGGATTTCCTTTTTCCACCTTCGGAATATTGCTAAGATTAGAAGCATCCTTTCCAGAAATGATGCTGAAAAATTTGTTCATGCATTGATTACATCAAGACTGGATTACTGTAATTCATTACTCTCAGGAAGTCCACAGAATGTAGTTAAAAGTCTTCAGCTTGTCCAAAATGCTGCAGCTAGAGTTCTGATGAGAATTAAAAAGAGAGATCATATCTCTCCTGTCTTAGCTTCCCTACGTTGGCTACCTGTTAAATTCAGAATAGATTTTAAGATCCTCCTTCTCACATATAAAGCTCTTAATATTCAAGCTCCATCATACATCAGTGACCTTATTGTTCCATACGTTCCTAAACGAGCACTTCACTCTCAGACTGCAGGTTTACTGGTGGTTCCCAGAATATCTAAAAATAGGACAGGAGGCAGATCTTTTAGTTATCAGGATCCTCTCTTGTGGAACCAGCTCCCAGCTTTAGTCCGTGAGGCAGACACCTTGTCTACTTTTAAGACTAGGCTTAAAACATTTTTATTTGATAGGGTCTATGGTTAAAATCTGATGACAAGAGCTAATATGGAAAATATCTAAAATGTATGATGTAAAATACCCAATTAAATGTGATTAAACAAACAAAACAACATAAATGTGTAACACAACAGTAATTAAAAATAAATAAATAAATAAATAAAATAAGCAATGCAATAAATAGTAATCAGTTAAAAGCTAAACTAAAAAGGTGGGTCTTGAGCCTGATCTTAAAAAAATGAACATTCTCTTAGACTGCTGGAGGACATGCTGACGACTTTCCACGCTCGACTACTTTCTTCTAAAATCTGCTCTTTAACTGTATTATTTCATACTATTTCAGCTGTTAACTTTATTTTTCCTCTAAGTGTTTTTCTCCCCAGAAGATGCTACAATGATGTTCTGCTGAGCTGTGGTGGCCTCATGGAGGGGGCCATCAGCTAGCACACTGCTGCTAATCACTTAAACATTCTCCCTCTCCTGATAAAAACTTTTTACTCTCTTTGACATTGAATGTGCTACTACTAGTTTACCTGTTTAATTATAGATTCACTAGAATAAATACAATAAAGTTTATCTCTCACCAAATAGAATATTTACAAAGAAATCACAATGTAACCATAGAAACACTACTACTACTACTACTTGGTATATGTGTTTTGTGTGTGTGTGTGTGTGTGTGTGTGTGTGTGTGTGTGTGTGTGTGTGTGTGTGTGTGTGTGTGAAATACACAACTGTGAAAATGTTAAGAAAGAGAGAGTGGATAGGAAAGAGGGAAATCAGTGGATCCTGAGAAAGGTGGAATAGGTAGTGAGAGCAGTACAAGGAGAGGATGAAGAAGGTCATACAAAAGCCAGCTTGAATAAGTGAGTCTTCAGCTGCTTTTTGAAGGAGACCACTGAGTCCACTGATCTCAGGCTCAGGGAGAGAGAGGTTCAGAGTCTGGGGGCCACAGCAGCAGATGATCTGTCACCTTTGGTCTTTAGCCTGGTGCTGCACAACCAGTAGGCTTTGATCACTGGACCTCAGGGACCTGCTGGGGGTGTAGGGACTAAGAAGATCACCAATGTAAGATGGTGCTTGTCCATGTAAGGCCCTATAGACCAGAACCAGGATCTCGAAATGAACCCTGAAGTTGACTGGCAGCCAGTGAAGCTGGAGGAGAAGCGGGGTGATGTGCGTGTGTTTGCAGGACTTGGTCAGAAGCCGAGCACAGGCATTCTGAACCACCTGTAGACGGTTCAGGGAGGTTCTGCTCAGACACGTGAAAAGAGAGTTACAGTAGTCTAAGCGTGAGGAGATGAAGGTGTGGAGAACTGTCTCAAGTTCAGAGTGAGACAGAATGGGACTCAGCTTAGCAATGTTCCTGAGATGGAAGAAGGAAGAGCGAACAAGAGAACTGACATGAGAATCCAGGGTGAGAGCTGGGTCAAAGGTCACAACAAGATGAGGATCTCAGTCTTATCTTCATTCAGCTGTAGAAAGTTCCCAGCCATCCAGGTTTTAATAGAGTCTAAGCAGGTGTGTAACAGCTGCAGCTTAGACATCTCATGGGGCTTAAAGGAGATGTACAGTTGGATCTGCATAAACATGGCAGGAGAATGGGCTAGCTCCATAGATGCAAAAAAATAAAATAAAAACAACTAGATGATGTGAGCTCCCTCTTAACAGTTCTATGGACGGTTGCTGGTCTCAAACACTTTCTGGATGGCTAGGACCAGGACATACGGTTGATCTGATGGAGAAACTCATCTCTGGTCCATACAGTCATGGACTAGACAGCTAAAGGGAGACCCATCTCCCTTTTCAGTAAAGTAACATTTAGTTTATTTCTCCTCTCTATGAAACGTCACATATTGAGATGTAGGTACATAACATGTTAAACCAGCTTTATTTTAGGGAAATGATGAGTTTAGATGTCCTTGCTGGAGCTGGAGGGATCTGAGTGTGCATTGTGGGGGGTTACCATGACAGATGGGAGAGAAGGTAGATAATAGCCACTGTCAGTGACTTTCCCCTCTTTCCTCTCACATTTAGAGCCATCTCACTTGTCTCCTGGCTCTTTATTTGTCTGGGCCATCTGACCCTCCCCTGGCTTTGTCGCTCTCCATAAGTCTTTATAACACCTCCAATCTTTTCTTTCCAGGATATACTTTTCATCTAAGCTTCCCTTGATGGGAACGAGTTGTGGTTTCTTCTTCAGATGGACATGGGAGGTGAGATGACCTTTACACTAGGTGAGATCATAATTGCACTGTTTTCCAGTATTATTATGACATTCTGCTGTGATAGGTCACTGCTTGCGTGAGCTCGAGAGTTCAAGGAGACACCATTTGTGAATTTAGATGCTGTGCTTCATTCAAAGGTAGCCGTCAGGTTTCATCTAGGAGCTCAAACGTGTGTATGACTACAAGGATGAGAGGATGCTGGAAGCAGAGGCGCCGGTTAGTGAGCAGAAGAACATCTGGTAGCCCTTAGATAAGTGCATGAGAGCAATTCCCATGAGATAATCCTAACCTGTTGCACCATTACTCACAGGCTTGTTTACGATATTACTGTTGCACCCACCCAGTCCCTGAGGTTATTTACTTTTATTTTTGGTGTTGCTGAGGATGTTGCCTTGGCTCTGACAATAACTCCTACCAGGATAAAAGTTCCTCCAGCAGTGAGAGCTGGTCTGCTGACCTCTGGGCAAAAAGAAGAACTGCCTGAAGAAATCATTTCTCCGTATTCGACCCCACCATAAGGAGCAGTGAGCTGCAGTTGCTATGGTGCCTGGGGGTCAATTCTAAGGGTTCAGCATACTTTAGTTCATGGTTCACTAGAGCTTGGCATGAGACCATTCGCCTAATGCTGATGACTGTTAGAAGTCTGGTTATTTATTTATTATTTGTTATTTATCAGTTGGATCTCTGTGCTGCCCCATACTGTCCATGGTGGCGTTCTGCTAATAACCAGTGATGTCATTAGCCTGTCTGGGAAGGTTTTAAACTGGTTCTCATCCTTATGTCTGAAGGGTTGCTGTTTCTATGAATCTGTTGCAGTCTAAACCCGTGGGGTACCACAGGGCTCTGTGCTGGGACCAAATGATCGCTGCTTTCATATAGCACATTTCTGAGGACTCCAAAGTGCTTTACACCACAGCCCCTGGGTTTTCTCACCACTCATATACATGTTACATTGAACTCTGTAAAGTCACCAACTGTAACCTAATACTGCTTATTTCTTCTCCACAACATCTCTGAATTAAAATCCTTCCAAGGCTGAAACTGTCTTAAACACTAAGCAGCACAACAGCTACGCTGTCATAGATTTGTAGTTGGCCTATAAAGCCTTCCATGGCTCCTCCTCTCCTAAACACTGCCTGAGAACAGAAGGTCAGATGGTCCTGATGGTCCCGTGGCTGAGGTTCTTCCTCGCTCCCTGAGTGCTAAACACATGCTTTAACACATGCTTTTTAAACTTGATTTCACCTCATTTCAGTTTTTGTTTTACTCTATTTACCTCGTGATTGCTGCTTGTTTACTGTTTTACTGTGAAGCACTTTGTGATTTTTACCTGAAGTGTTACTTCCTTCCTCACTAATTTCATTAGAGAAGAAGGGTTAGAGTTAATTCAAATGCAGCTTTTGTGGCTAAGTTTCAAAAAGGAAATACACACCTCCTCTGGTCTAGACGGCTCTGGGACAACAGGAAATATTCAGGGACTTAAATCCAGAATGTCATGATGAAACTCAACAACAGTGAGATCCCATGAAGGAGGAAGGAGGAGACAACTTCTCACCTGCTGGGAGAAGCGCTGCTGGGTCTGGATCTGATAGTGCTCCTCGGTCATCACACGAGTGTTTCCTGACGCCGGTGGCAGCGACTCAACTTCCTCAATGGCTTCCATGGAAACGGTCTGGGGGAGCACCTGGAAGAGCGATGTCACGTACATGATGACGCTCTTCTTGTCAGGGTGAGGCACCGCCACGTCTATGAAACAGAAAGTGATTTATTTTATTTCCCATCTTCTACTTTTTCCTATTCATATTGCCTCAGACGTGACCATATATGGACAGGAGGGAGGAGCTTCCTCGTGAAACCTCATCCTTCACCAGTGGTGACAAGGAATAAACTGGAATAATGTCCATCGTAGTGGAAATTAGAGTAGTGTTGGGGCAGCTGCCCCTACTGGGGACAGGGTGAGCCAACAACTTAACTCAACAGTAACTTTAGGCGAGCAGCAGAAAACCTTTTCTAAGTTTCTATGCTTAAACACAGCAGACTCGTTTACATCAGAAGGTTTTATTTCCATATTCAACTCAATTCAAATTCAAAGATACTTTATTCATCCCAGAGGGAAATTCAATTGTTTCAGTACACACAATTCTGAGATCTGACATACATACATAGAAACATGACAAGAATTGGTGACAGTGGTCATTCGCAACACGAGTCGCGCTACCGTAATAGATCAAGAAGGTTTATATGAGGATAGAGTCAGGGGGATGGAAAAAAGGCACTTCAGAGTTACCCCCGACAGAGAGGATAGCTTTGCAATGCAACAAAACACCTCAGACAGATGTGCACACAGACTTCAGATGATACACAACATAAGCGCCCACTTATGAAAAAGAAAAAAGCGTCTGTACTATCCAAGAGCCGGAAGAAGAATGTGCCAGAATCACAAGCTTAGGAAATTGCTGTGGTACTTGGTGCAAAAAAAGGAAGATAAAAGAAAAAGAGGTAAGAAAATACAGGAAGTAAGAATACACTAACTTACTAGTAAGATCCTGAGCAGGTAAACCAGGATTAGACACCACTGGTCTAGATCAGTGGTTTCCAAACTGGGGACCCTAAAATGTTGCCTGTGCTGAGGCTGTGAGGGTACCACCAATAAGACATTTATAAAATCCAAATACCCAATAGTATAATGAGACAACTCTATCCATGGGTATCCAGCCAGAAGCACACAATGGGGGACACCAGCTGAGGGACATCAGTAATCAGGACTCCACTATGAGAGGACGAGGAGCTAAAGCTAAGCCTGATGATGTCTGATTCACTGTAATTACCATGTTATGAACTATCCACCTTCTGTCCTTCAAGCCTCGACAAGGCTAAGCAAAGACCTCTGACCCCTGAGATGTCTCATGTTGCATAAAGATTTTATGATGTTTAGGATTAAATCAGTCTAACACAAATGCATTTACAGAGCAGCTCCACCACTAACATCTCTATGGGCTGTGTACGTAAACTAGCTTTCAGGAGCCTGTTTTACTCCTGGAGGCCTGCTCATTATCTCTGACTCTACTGGGTACGTGTCAGACAGCCTGTGTACGCTGGGCCTTACAGCTGAATAAGGTCTGAGGGCCCGTTTTAACAAGATGGGTTAGGGTTAGGGTCAGGAGTGTGGACGGGTGAGTCAGCCTGGAGCTTCAGAACAACATCTGACTACATCTGAGCCACAGCAGATCCATGAAGAGCAGAAGGAGACTGGCATCGTTCTCATTACCCACAGCCAACAGTTAGAGTAAACTGGACCCTGGAAAATCAAGAACCTAGAGACTAAAAACATTCCTACCCAGCTGTTTCAAATATTCCTAATCCTCCAAGTCAATTTGTGCATCATCAATTAACGTCAAACCCAATGACAGCATGGAAGATTGTGGTCAATGTGCACTAATAAAAGCAAATGGTTGGAGGGGGGAAAAGATAAGCAGGCATTTGACTCAATTGAGCCGATTCCCAGCATTCCAGATGTGCGTGGATGTGTTAGAGTTACCTTCTGGGTCCAGCAGCCGCTGTATGCCCAGGTGTTGTTCTGCCGTACTAAAGGCGTGTTCCAGTCTGTCGATGGCTGACGTCTTCTTCTCCACCGAGCTCCAATCAAACAGCTCGGGCCTGTCCACGTGAAACCAGAGAAGAACATCGGTTCTGGTTGTTGGGTTCACTTCTGGAAAGGGTTAGCTCACTAATATTTACTGTAAAAATCGCAGTTCAACTGGAGTGCTACAGTTACAGGTTCATTCATAAAACACAATATCATGACATCATCTGCAAAAAATATTTACTCACATGAATAAAAAGCTGAATGGAAAAAAATTTATACAGTAACCGGCACTGGGTTAGTATATCACCTATTCATGGAGGGACATGTGAACGGAGGGATGGATGGATAAATGGATGGACAGAGAGAAAGATGGATGGATGGAGGGAGGGACACTTGAACAAAATGGATGGATGGACAGAGATGGAGGAACCAACACAAAAATGGAGAGAGGGATGGATGATGGAGGGACACAAAGATAAATAATTAGATGGACAATACGTAATACATGAAACCACCATAATCACACACCAGTACACACTAGGAGTGGGTGATATGGGAAAATAAATCATATGACTATTTTGTCTGTCTGTCCGTCCGTCCGTCTATCTATCAATCTGTCTGTCTGTCCGTCCCTCTATCTATCTATCTATCTATCTATCTATCTATCTATCTATCTATCTATCTATCTATCTATCTATCTATCTATCTATCTATCTATCTATCTATCTATCTATCTATCTATCTATCTATCTATCTATCTATCTATCTATCTATCTATCTATCTATCTATCTATCATCTATCTATCTATCTTAGTAAAGAGCTACATTTAGAGCAGAACATTGACGCAGATGTTTCCTTATTGACGCATGAGAAAACAGGTAATGACCATTTAAAGACGGTGCAAGCTAGCTGCTAGCCGCTATAATCGAGTATGGTGTGCTTCTTCAACAGTTTATTATCGTTCATGTCCGCATCTCATTGCATCGATTATTAGATTATTTTTCTCAAAACTACCGATCACCCCAGTAAACAGAATCAGCTAGCTAACACAGCTAGCTCGGTTCTGAGCTGCCCACTGGATTCAGCTGAGGAGACGTGTGAAAGGAGGATAATGGGGAAGATGACCTCCATTAGAGCCCTGCACGGGCCAAAAATCTGAGTCCGTGTCCGGCCCAGCCCGAGGGGGTGGAGCCCCAGCCCGACACGGTCCGAAAAGGTTTTCAGAATTCTCTGGCCCGACCCGAGCCCGGGCCCGACTTTTTTTAACCAACTAAATGAAAACAAAGTGTGTCAATCCTGACCAATGTGTTAAAAGACGTGCAGGATCTGATCAATTTGTTTTTCCCTCGTTTACCGTCACGGAGATAACGGTGCACTGGCTCTGGTGGCAATCAAGTTAAATTTTATCTCTTTCCAACAATTTTCACAAGAAAACAGAACAGTCAAAAGCAGGGCTTGTGTTGACCGGATAGTTCCCCTATTTGACCGTTTATTTTGACGGAGAAAGAATAGAAAGAATTACCCCGACGCATGCAGACGAACTGACATTTTATTCTACGCACATCGCAGATGTAGCTAAATCACTCAAGAAAAGATTCCCATCTGAACATCTGAGCTGCTCAGCGCAGCTCGCTGTCAGCGCATATGTGCACAGCGAGCTGAAGATGTGGAGAGGGGCTTGGAGCGCGTCGCAGAACCAGAGCGCATGCGGGAAGATTCCTCCCACTGAAGCGAGCGTTTTCCAAACCCTGTCGCTCAGAGAGACTTGTCACTTAGAAAATGTTCCCTGATTATGAAACTTTGGCTGAATAGCGCTTGTTCCTGTCTCCAATGTGGCAACGCATCCATGAGCCGTCTGAGGAGAATCCCAGAATCTCACATCCTCTTCAGCTCAGAAAGCGCCTATGATTACACACAAGCGTGACGCGTCAACCCGGTCTCACAGTAAGACTGGGTTGGGCCTGTTCAGGTTTAAGCAGACAATCTTTACGTAGAATTGACTTACAGATATAAAATTAATTCAGTAAAATATAAAGCATTTTATTTAAATATCCATTCATTATTTTACAAGCACAGAGGGCCGCATCAGATGGATGGAAGAGCCGAGGGTTGTGACATGTTTTCTCCAGGACCAGAGAGGACACAAACTCAATACATCTCTTTTATTGTGAGGTAATAATTTCTCAGAGTTTTGCGGTTGCAGACGGGAGTAGACATGCACACTGCGGGTGCGGGCGGGAGTGTAACACACACTTTGCGGTTGTGGGCGGTAATGGTCAGAAATTCAGCGGGAGCGGGCAGGAGCGGGATGAAGAAAACAGTCCTGCCCAGGGCTCTACTGCTGCGTTTAAGTATTTCATTTTTTTTATGAATTCGATTAAAAATAAAGGTGCCCGGCCAGGCGAGTGTCCGAGGTAATTACACAGTCGTTGGCCCGAAGACCGGCCCGAGGGTCGTCGGGCCGGGCTGACCCGAGGGCCTAGGGCTTCAGTGCAGGGCTCTAACCTCCATCCTAAAAAAAAAACCTCCCACCTACTCAATTCCACTGTGGAGACCATGGACAGCTCCTTCAGAGACAGACTGAGACATCCCAGATGTAAAACAGAACGCTACCGTAGGTCATTCATACCCTCTGCAGTAAGAGTGTAGACCTCCTCAGTTTAACTGGTACTGGCATCATCCTGGTACACAATACCACCAATGCAATGATTGGGGGTTAAACCACCAAAACGTTCCTAAATGCAGCCGTGTCTGCAGCTCACTGCTCCCCACGTGGATGGGTCACATGTGGAGAACCCATTTCACCAGTGTGTGATGGTGAGTAATGGGACTTGGGCACATACCTGTGGCTGTGGATGAGGGCGTTGAAGGCCAATCCATCATTCCAGCTACCAGAGAAGTTAACCACGTTCACCTGAGGACAAACATGTGAAATGTTACAGGAGCAGAAGGACAGCCACAGTGGACATGTCCTTCTTCAGGCACTGATGTCCATTTGATAACAAACAGCTGATCAACTACCTGAGAATTTCATACAGGAAGTTGGTGAACATGAGCAACTTAAAGTCCTAAACCTGGATTACTCCCAACTACAAAAGTTCTCAACAGGCCCAAAAATTCTACCCCAAGCCAAAATGGCCGGTGCTGCAGCCCAAAACTGACCCGACCCACCAGGCTCACATGGGTCTGGTTCAGGCTGGTCAAATCTCTCCAGTTTAGGACCTGGAACTCCTAACGTGTGCTTCCACCTGATCTTTGGGTTCCTATGGTACCGTGATGCAACCAGCAACCTGTTAGAGTGACTGAACATCTACAGCTGTGGTACTCAATAGGTGGCCTGTAGGGCCCTCGAACGTCAAGGTCATTTTTTAAAATGGCCCCCATCCTCTTGTATATGAGTACCCCTGATCTACAGCATCACGTGTCTAGTTCACCTCCACTGGCTGGAACTTCTGGCTTTATCTCGTTATCCATTGGTGAATAAGAGCCGCGGTGGTTTCACCAGCTCATTACGTCACAACAGGCTGGTGAAGCAGATTTCTGCTCTAAAGGCAGCTGCAGGAGACGTATCACCATAGAAACTTCACATCTTCAATCTGTAAAAACTTTATTCAATCATGAGGTTCCTCATGAACAATCTCACTGCCTGGTTTCTTTATTTAGACCAACAAAAAGTTCATATTTCAAAATCAGAAGTTTGTCAGTGGCAGAGATTTATTAAATAGATAAATGAACATAAACAAACAAACAATAAATAAATGAGGGAAAAACTTAACAGAATAAAAAAGCTGATGTGGGACCAACCTCAGGATAACGACGTGTGTTCTGACGAACCCAGCTCAGCAGAATCTTCTCACTGTTGGTCTGCTGAAGGCCCGCCATCACATCCTTCATCACATCCTTCACCTGAGAACACACACACACACACACACACACAGAGAGAGAGAGAGAGAGAGAGAGAGAGAGAGAGAGAGATAACCTTTGACGTAGCAGAAGCCAGACATGATTTATGTTTATTGTGGTTAGGGTATCTGACATCTTCATGCAGATGAGACGCTTTATTAAACTCGCCAGGCTGAGGCTGAAAGCTCCAGAAACCTGATGAGGAGTAAAGCGATAAATGTCTTGTAGGAGCGTGACAGGAAGCAGCAACAGGTCTGAAAACAGGGCGTGTCTCTGACAGAGAGGGTGGGGCTCCTAACAGAGGATTTGAATTATTCCATATCTTTTGGTATTGTCAGTGAGACCAAGAAGCTACTGCCCATCACAGCAAAAGTGATGCTGGAGATGTTTGACTTCAATGGAAACACCTGAGCCCAGAAGGAGCAGTAACTAGGGACTTGGACATTTTCTTTAAAAGTGATCAAATGTCATGTTCATCATGTCTACTAGATAGAGCCTGAGCTCACTAACAAAATGACACCTCATTTGTCAAAATCCACCCAGCCAATCCAGAGATATTAAACCTTTAACAATCCAAATTAACGCCCATTTGTTTCAATTGGAAATGCATTAAAACCTGTGATCAAATTTTGATTAGCTGTCTAGTTCATCGTGGAAAAGAGGCCATATTTTAGTTATTAATAAAGATAATTGGTTGACATTTTCAGGAGATGTCAACAGATGAGAATGTAAAAGAATTTAGCTAAACTGCACCAAAATAAACTCACAGAAACTCATCAATTTGCTCCAAAGTTGGTTCACAACTGAAATTACAAGGCTACTTGTTTACAAACACAACGCCACTGTCCAATCAGATGACATCATTTTGGTCACGTGACCTATACCAGCAGCTAACAGCCATCCATTCGAGGCTTAAAAACACACTTTCTACTCTTCAGTATGCATTAAAACTTCGTCAAACACCAGATTAAAATATATTCTAATATCCTTTATACCTTTCAATACATCCTAAGAGTTCTGTCATAGTTTTGAAGAGGGTTGAATGTGAGCCAAAATTTCGCTAGCGTCAAACTTCACCACAGACGTACTGAAAGGGACGAAATCGGCAACGAGGTTGAAAGGGGGGGGGGGGGGGGGGGTTCCCTATGTCATATCAAAGAATCACAGGGACCTACCTCCTCTAAGCCAATGAAAAAGCTGAATTCTGAGATGAGCTCCCTGGCCCCTGTGATCCTCATGCACAAGTAACAGTGGAGAAAATGGCGCAGCTGAGTGTCAGGATTTCCAAGTACTGACAGTAACCTTCAGAGAGAGGAGGGCAGGACCAACATCAAGCCAGATGAAAGAGAAGTTATGTAGAGTCTGTTGATGATTCTTCATGTTCCTCTGGAACTCCTTTCAATCAGATGCTTGGACAGCACAACATCTCTTTAGACTCCTGTAACCACGGGTCATGATACCCTTCTTTCAACAGGAAGTGGGTCCTGACATAATCCCAGCAGCTAGACCATCTGAGACACCATGAAGACTTAGTACGGTTAGCTGTGAAGAGACAATTATTCTGCTGATTTCAGTGGTAAGTTGTTAACTTCCTACTGGAACCACACGCGTTCACATGCTCCCAGTTTAGGAGACGTGTGAAAGGAGGATGCTGGGGAAAGCCCCTCCCACCTACTGCATTCCACTGTGGAGACCATGGACAGCTCCTTCAGAGACAGGCTGAGACATCCCAGATGTAAAACAGAACGCTGCCGTAGATCATTCATCCCCTCTGCAATAAGAGTGTAGACCTCCTCAGTTTAACTGGTACTGGCATCATCCCGGTACACAATACCACCAACGCAGTACTCAGTATGTGTTTAACACCAGATTTACATAGTATGTCCATGTACCTTACAGTATGCTGCATAGTGTTGGAACCCAAGTTTCCTTTTATTTGTTGTGCTTAGCGGTTGAAGGTTGCGTTGATAGCTTACGGCCTCTGTGTGTTTACCTGTAATTTGTTTTTTCTTCCTTTTCTCTAACTGTCTGAGCTGATGTAACGAATGAATTTCCCCACTGTGGGGCTAATAAAGGCTATTCTACTCAGGATAAACAACGAGGGAAAGCCTCCACTCACGTGGAATAATCATAGATCATGTGATCCTCTGACAGGATGGATACAGCTCACTCGTGTTGCACCCAGAAAACATTTTCTCACGTTCCTACTCATTCTCTGGAGCAATAATGTCTGCTCGGCCTGGATGGACTATAACAGAGCCTCTGGTCTGAAGGTGGACAGCTCTGAACTCGACATCAACAGGACACTGACTCAATAGGACTGTGGAAGACAATGCTGAGGTCTGATCAAAGTCATTAGCACAAGTTAGCGTTTGGTCTCATTAGAGCTGGTGAGACATCGATTCACTGATCCACCTCATCCAGATATTCAACAATGATATTGGAAAGCTGTTTGGGTGGGACCAAAGTGGAAGAAATCAAAGGAAGGAAGAGAACAAAACTGAGTGGACTGTTCAAGCAGAGAAATGGTAAAATGGCCTGTATTTGATATAGCGCCTTCTAGAGTCTTGGAACCCCCCAAGGCGCTTTACAACACAATCAGTCATTCACCCATTCACACACACATTCACACACAGGTGGTGATGAGCTACAATGTAGCCACAGCTGCCCTGGGGCGCACTGACAGAGGCGAGGCTGCCGAGCACTGGCGCCACCGGTCCCTCCGACCACCACCAGCAGGCAATGTGGGTTAAGTGTCTTGCCCAAGGACACAACGACAGCGACAGACTGAGCGGGACTCGAACCTGCAACCTTCAGATTACGGGGCGAGCACTTAACTCCTGTGCCACCGTCGCCCCAGAGGACAAAAGAGCTGATGTGCAGGACAATTAGAAAACCTTAGGATCTCAAAAGATCAAGACAAACCGAGGCTTCCAAAGAGTAAGACGGGTCCATGATCCATCAGTCCATGTGACCTGCCAGTCATCAGATACCTGCTGGCCAAAGAAGAAGGTCCTCATGAGGAGCTGAGGGCCCAGCCCCCTGAGAACATAAACCCAGAGCAAGGCCAAGGATGGGTGAGCATCAGAGGCACCATCCAACGACTACTGAGTACACGTCTCAGGTAGCAAAAGGCCAAGGTGGAACAGCAGAAAGTAGGAGGAGCATCACACAACATGCTAACAGGATGTCCACTACAGAGACGTAACTACTGCTGTTGGTCTGTTTAAAAGTTTAGTTTCTGACAGACCATCAGCCCTAACACTAACTACACCGCAGTACTCAACATATTACATACTAGAGTTAGTCTTCAACAAAAGTTACTTATCAGCGTCAAACATCAACGATCCAACTCCAGCTGTCAGTCTTGGATGTTAAAGGATTTCACTTCTGCACAGTTCTGCTCTGAGAAACGGTGGAAATGTGATTCGTAAGGAGGGTCAGAGTTAGGGGTCACTACCCGTGGTGTCTAACTTATGTTCCAGACATGACATAACTGGAGTATTTGAGCTAATTATGAGCTGCAGACATGAACAATGAAATGTGATGTTTGAGTTCCTTATTGTTAAACAAACTCAGATCAAAACAGGAAAGACACACACACACACACACACACACACACACACCTGCCAGTGGAGAATAATGCTCCAGATGAGCCCGAGAATCAGTTTGTGATTCCCATCAACGATGTCTGCTGCTCCGATATTCACCAAGTCCACCTGCAGACAGGTTGGAGAGAGACAAAGGTTAAAGGAACAATGTCAAAAGCCTAAACAGTTTGTGTGTGTGACTGTGTATGTGTGTGCGTGTGTGTGTGTTCATGTGAATGTGTGTGTGTGTGCGCGCGTGCATGTGTGTTTGTGTGTGTGCATGCATCTGTATGTGTGTGTGTGTGCATGCATGTGTTTGTGTGTTTGTGTGTGTGCATGCATGTGCATGTGTGTATGTGTGTGTGTGCATGTGCATTGGAAAGTGTGTGTGTGTGTGTGTGTGTGTGTGTGTGTGTGTGTGTGTGTGTGTGTATGTGTGTGTGTGTGTGCGTGTTTGTGCATGTGTGTGTGTGTGTGTGTGTGTGTGTGTGTGTGTGTGTGTGTGTGTGTGTGTGTGTGCATGAATACTCACGTTGTTTTTCTGCAAGATCTGCAGAGCACGGTTGACATTGTTAAGCGAGTGAACACGCGTGAACCCTTTCTCCAATCTCACCTACACACAAACACACACACGCACGCACGGACACACACACACAAAGAGAGAGAGGGAGAGAGAGAGAGAGAGAGAGACATTTTTGAGGAAAACAGATTTTGCTCATGGGCATCTTAGAACTTTAACATAAGACAGATAATAATGTGTGTGTGTGTGTGTGTGTGTGTGTGTGTGTGTGTGTGTGTGTGTGTGTGTGTGTGTGTGTGTGTGTGTGTACCAGTGGATGTCCTGAGAGTCCCTCCAGCAACTCCAGCAGCCGTCGTCCATCACACAGATCTAAGAACAGATCCTCCACAGGTGGTTTTCCTGTCTGAAGAACACACACACACACACACACACACACACACACACGGTTAACCAGAGCATCCACTACAGATTTGTCTCAGACTCTTTTAACGTCCAGAAATGGTCAGTTTTCGCCTACAGATTGACCTACATGCCACCGGTCATCTACAGACATAAATTCCATTCTCTAAGGTGGATTTTACATTCTATCTTCCAACAAGCCCAGAAGGTTCTGCAGCTCTGAACACATGATAACATATTGTCAACAAACTGTTCCCATTTCAAGGCCTAAGCTTCCCTTATCGCTTCTACAGGATTCCTCATGCCTCTGAATAAAGTGACCGTTTTCAGCTCTTATGAGTTAATTAATCATGAAATGAAATGAACAATATGGTTAAATTAAATGTTTTGATTAATCTGTGCTTAACCTTCTGGGGTCCATGGATTTGGGACGCTGTAGCAGCAAGACTCCACCTCCCTGAGTTTCAGTTTCAATTCAGCTTTAAAAAGGAGATCATAAACTACACCCCAGTTTTAAAATTTTGTTAATAGGCAACGTAAAAGCGGAGTTATACTGAACTAAAAAACGACCTATTTTTAGACAATCTGATAACTTGTCAAAACAACAGTTTAGTATTCCGTGAGAAGGAATGTGCTTGTGAACAAAAAACCCACAAAAACATGGGATCCTTTTGCTGTTGGTGGAAGTCTCACATATTCAATTGATAAAAAGCATCATTATGTAGCTGAGAGAGAGAGGAAGGTCGCACGAGTAACAAGATGTGTGCAAAAAGGAGCTGCTTCACGGGGAAAGGAGTGGCGCGAACGGAGTAACAACAAACAATTAGACAGATATTGACGGTAAACTTCATATTTTGGAGCGATCCGGACAGATATATTGTCTGCAGTTTAGTAGGCTTTTATTAGGCTTTAATAAAGGATGATGAGAAGGATAAATGTCCACCAGGCAGTTCAGATAGTACGGCTGTTTTTTGAACTGGAAGCAGAGGAAGTGGACGGAGACTCGCAGCCGGAGTCTGGGGCAAATAGCGAGGATGTTGAAGACGATGTGGCTTATCCATCCTTCCTCATAGAAGAGTTGGGTCATGATGAGGTAGAGGATGAAGGCAGAGATCCAGCTCCTCGGAGATCCAACAAGAGGAGTGGGCGGTGCCACGCAGCTGTCAGATCTCGGCGTGAGACGGAGCCACTCCCCACTCCAAAATGCATGTTCATTATTGCCAAATTAATAAAATAAGTATAAATTCAGATAGTCCAGGTTGTCCTGAAAAAAAGGACACCCCATAAGGCAATATTTATTGTTTTTATTAGAAAATACAAAAGAAAAACCAAAATGAGTCAAAAACGGTCATTTACACCCTAGACCCCAGAGGGCTGATAATTTTTTTTTATTTGTTATTTGCTATATTTAGCCGTATTTTTTATAAATGTACAGTCTAGATTACCATTCTAAATTATAAAAAACCTTCGTCATAAATGTTTGTTGGTTTCACAGTAAAATAAGCAACTTTTTTCCAATTTGGATTTTATGTTTTTGAGTGATTTAAGGTCTAATATGCAACCCCTTTATGTCCAAATATAAAAAATAAGTATAAATTCATTAAGTCCAGGTTGTGCTGAAAAGATTGATACCACATAAGGCAGTGGTTTTTATTTTGGAAATACAAAGGAAAACTCTAAATTAGTCAAAAACTGCAAATTACACCCTGGACCCAGAGGGTTAAATTACTCTGGTTGAAATGAATATTATTATGGTATGATCAGTAATTATATATTTAGCAAGATATTTTCTTACCCACAAATCAGAGCATCCTGTAAGAAGGTGTGATGTTCTGAGGGTTGCTGTTAACACCTCTTAACATGGCACGTCCTGATTGGCCAAGTAAATCTTAATATGAGAATGTTAAAACAGAATCACTTACGGAGTAATTCAGCATTCCAGCATTCTGTGAGATTCAGCATTCTGTTAGTTGAGCTAACTCTTGACTGGCCATCGGAGGGAAACTCTGCTCACACCGCATCAATTGACAAGCTTTCAACAAGCTAAAAGCTGCCTACAGCTGACACAGCAAAACGGTTCCTTCAGCTATTCAGAAACAGCTGTTCTAGAAGCAAACTAGTTTCAACCTGTGTGCCTGGTGACATCTCTGGACTGGAGCGTCGGTGCTGCGGTTAATCTACTGAACCTCTGTGCCCAGAGGTCATTCGACCTTCCTGACCTCCGGATCTGCGAAGAGGGTCTCCAAAGAAAGGGTGAGGTAGACACAGCATGATTGCATCTGATGCCGTTTTGATAGGAACCAACTTCATAGTTTATTGCAAACCAAATCTTTTCACACCCAGAACTCAGTTCTTCTAGATACAAGGTTCTGATAAACACACACCATTCAATCCCCATACATCACATCCCATCCTCTTAGATTCATCCATCACAGCAGCCTTAGTTAACTTGTCATATTTTTAATTTGATAGAAAATAAATTTCTTACTTTTTCATAAACCTGACTGAATTGGTACGAAGTGTGTGTGATCCCTGAAAAAGCAAAGAACCCTAGAATCTTCTGATTAAACATCCAAAGACCAAGCAGGTTGATATTCTATATTAATATAGAATGTCACAGCTTATTGGTCATAAGTAAATGTAATATATTAAGCTTAAAAGCAACAATATTTACCCCGCTACACTCTGCATAAACCAAACAGGTCCCCATTGGACCTCTAAGTGGGTGGAAACAGTTTCAGAAACATCTTCAGCTTCAGATCTGAGGCCAGCAGCAGAAACCAGATGTTTGTGTTTCATAGCATAAGAACCGTTTACCCCAACAACAACAACAACATCTCTAAAGTAATCACAAAGCAGCCTTCCATTAAATGTGAAGATAACAATTTCTACCCAGGAGCTTGTTTTCTATCAGCGCCGACATGTCCGGGGTTACAAACCAGCAGCTGGGGCTCTCTGCAGGCAGAGCACCAGCTGCTGCGTGAGGAGGAAGGAGAACAGGATCATTGGTTCCACTCACAGGTGATCACAAGGGCTGTGGTATTTTACCTTGTGAGGAGGCAGCAGATTACACGCTGTAAACATGCCTGAGCTGTGCTATTGTTGGTGTGATCTGATTAGAAGATAATTATTGTAGCTTCATGAAGGAACTGTTGTCTGACCTAAAGGTCCCTTCTCCTCAGGAAGAACTATCTCCTTCAGATATGCTCAAGGCCTTTTGATGCCTCTGCATCTAAACTGTCTTAACTAGCTATTTACCTCCCCGTACAGCTCAAGAGAAGAAAATCAAATCAATCAAATCAAAGATACTTTATTAATCCCAGAGGGAAATTAGAGTTTCAGTACACACAATTCAGAGATCAGACATACATGGGCAAGACGCATGACAAGAATTGGTGACTGTGGTAATTCGCAACCCCCGAGTCGCGCTACCTTAATAGAGATAAGAGGGTAACTTGAGGAATTGATTCGGGAGGAGGGAAAAAAGGCACTTCATAGCTACTCTCCCACCAGGAGGGCAGCTTTGCTCTGCAAAAAAAAAAAAACCCACCTCAAACAGATAAGCAACAGACATCAGACATCACAACATAACATGAGACTCCAATAGGAAGACAGGGGAGGGGGCTGGGATCCTGTTTCCACAGCGAGAGCAGCCATCTACGGCGCTCAGTCACTGTAGCCACAGGTGGGAGGGAGATCTTGGGAGAAGCGCAGAGCACATTGACTCCTGCAGGTTGATGACCTCGCCAGGCTGAAGTCCACCCCGAAGGCGGGGGGGTAGGTCGGGTTTTCACAGCTATGGTGTCAGATTCGGATAACAAGACTTTGTTTGGGTCAGGCTGAGATAATTTTCTCTCTTCCTTCAGTCTTTAAACTGATCATTCAAGTCCTCCAGTGAAGCCAATTTGGTTTTTAAACTTGTCCATACCGTCCGGTGACCCTCTCCGAGATGGCATCCATTTTGTGCACTAATACCGGTATCTGTTGCTTCGGTGTGCAAGTTTGCCAAAACATTGTCAGGCTTTGTAATTTTCTCTGGCCTCCTGCCTGATCGGACCAGTGACGACATGTTTAGCCGCGTGCTGTCCAACTGCTGGTTGTCTAGGTGGTGTCCTGAAAACAACGTGGGCTACATTGATAATTGGAAAACTTTTTGGGGAAAACCTGGTCTGACGCGTAGAGACGGCATCCATCCCTCTTTGGATGGAGCAGCTCTTCTTTCTAGGAATATGGCCAGTTTTATTAGTCCTCCATGACAACCCACGATCCAGACCAGGAAGCAGAGTCGTAGTTTAACACACCCCTCTGCAGCTTCTGTACTGTTACCCACCCACTACCCCATAGAGACAGTGTCCTGCCCACGGCCAAAATCACACAGATTAAATATCAGGCTTAATAAAGCAAATCATGGAAATCTCATAAATATTAGAACAAATTCAACTGAGCAGAAAACTAGAAAAATTAAATGTGGGTTGTTGAACATTGGGTCTATTTTTCTAAGACTTTGTTAGTTAATGACTTGATTTGTGATAATCAGATTTTTTTGCTCTCTCTCACAGAATCCTGGCTGCAGCAAGAGGACTATGTTAGCTTAAACTTTAAACAGTCAACACTGTCAGCAGGTATGAGATAAACACCTTAGACCCGCTAACGTTTCCCTTAGAAAATACAAAACTGAATAGTTTGTATTTACAAATGAAGACACAATTAATTTCTTTTTTAATCTATTTAAAAAAGTGATTAAAAATGAGTTTAAAATTACAAAAAAAATTAAACTGTGATTAAAAATGTAAGGAAAAGGAGAGGTAAAAATCCCGGGAAAGGCAGAATAAAGAGAGGGTGGTGATGAAGGTCCCACCAAAGCCTGAACAGGTGAGTTTAAAGGAGACCACTGAGTCCACTGCAGGGTTCCAACTGGTTTCATTAAGCTAAATTCAAGAATTTTTAAGACCACTTGTCACGACATGCGGGTGTGGTGAGCCGAGGTGAGGATCCAATTGCAGG